GCATAGTGGTGCATGCCTGTAGTCGCAGCACTTAGGAGGCAGAGGCAGGTGGATCTCTGTGAGTTCAAGTCCAGCCTGGTCTACATAATGAATTCCAGGACAGCTGGGGCTACAGGGAGACCCTATGTATATACAGTCAACATAAATTTATGCTTCTTAAAATTAATTTACTTATCATACTAATTTTTAACTAAAACCTCATACAAACTAAAAATGTTAAATTAACACCAAAATATTTTTTTCAGGCCAAAATATTCTCTCTTTAATCTACAGCATGGTTCCTGGTACTAAAATATATAAATTAATTTTAACTACCTCTCTCCCTATCTCTCTCTCTCTCTCTCCCTATCTCCTTCTCTCCCTCCCCCTCTCTCTCTCCCTCCCTCTCTCACCACTACCCTTCTGGGGCTCTACTAAGCCTCTACTAAACCACCACCCTTCTGGGGCTCATCTTCCCTCAGCCTCTACTAAATAAACCTCAGGACCAACTTGTTCCACAAACTTCCCTCTCTCCTGGCTCACTGCATTCTTTCCACTTTTCTCCCATCCCATTCCTTGTACTCTGTCTCCATCTACTGGCTGGTCACGCCACGCTCTCATTGCAGGCTTTTCCGCTCTTCTCACTTGCCTCGAAATCACATGTGTGTTGGAAACACCTTTCCTTTCTCTGGACATAGGACGTTATTTCCAGAGGTAGGAACACGCACTACTTCCTGTCCAGGACAGGATCTCGCCTTTCCTCTCCCTGATGATCTGATTGCAGGACGCTGCCTTCTGGGACTTGGAAATAACTCAAAAATAATAACTCAAATCTGAGCAACAAAAAAAGGATACTTTGTTTTGATTCCTGGTTCTCCTTACTCTCGTTTTGCATGACTGATGCCAAACTCCTTTTCCTCCTCCTCCCTCCCCGTCTCTCTCTCTTCCTCATCTGCTGTGCTTTCCTGCCCAGACTCATGATCCTGCTTCCACTCCCTATGGAGAGAGGATTTTCTTTGTCTCCTATCTGCTCGGTTCTGTCTCTACCTCCTACCCACTTGCTCTATCTTCCCTTTACTTTGTACTTATCTGTCACTATGGGAAACACCCACTCAAAGTCTTAGGGTCTCACACCTCTTGCTTGTCTTCTTAAATCCTTAAAACAACTAGAACTTTCGTATACAGTCAGGCCAAAACACCTGAAGTTCCTGTGCACCACTGCCTGGCCTCAGTACGAGTTAGATAATAACTCTGTTTGGCCAGACACTGGAACCTTAGACTTCAATATTTTAAGAGATTTAGAAAATTTCTGCTATCGAAAAGGCAAACAGTCCAAATTACCATATATCCAAGCTTCCTTTGAGCTCCGTGCTAATCCCTCCCTCTGGGTCCCATGTTCTTCCCATCAGGTTCTTCTGGCTAAGACAGTTTCATGGGATCCCAACCCAACAGGACCCCCCCCTCCACCTCAGCTTTTGATCTACCATAGCCGATGAACTGCCTCCGATTAGGACCCATCGCCCAACCTCCTCCTGCTCCCCAGCCTGAGGCACAGCCAAGTCCCCCCCATGCTCTCCCCTTGCTATATTCTCCCTTGCCTCCCATTCCA